CAAACCATTAAATGCCTTGTAAAGTCGCTATTAAACCTTCAGGGAAACCGGCTTATTTCAAACCATTAAATGCCTTGTATGAACAGGAACCTATGATATATACATGTTTTGAACTATAAAGATTGATATTTTCAGTTTTTAAAAAAGGTACTTGCGAATTTCTATTGCAGAAATATTATCCTCGAAAAACGACAATATCTTCATAAAAAGGTTTAACGGCCACTGTAGTGAATCGGCCCTTTTAACCTTTGTATTAGTTTGGGAGGGGGGGGATCAAACCACAAACAATTCTTGTTTTCATTTTATGAAATGAAAAATAAAACTAATGGAGCAACTTTAGCATATTCGTGTTTTTCTAGAGAAAATAGATAAAACATCCCAATACAAAGGAATTGAGTCTTTGCCACAAACTCTGCTTTTCTAAACCCTATATCTTTGGATTTAAATGTCATAGACCTTAGATATTTCAAACTATGAATTCTGTTAGATCAAATAATATAAGTTTGAAATATCAAAAATTTACGACATTGGGTTCTAAAGATATAGAGATTATAAATTCAGAGTTTGTGGCAAAGACTCAATTCCTTTCTTAAATATAATTTTAACTGAAAATGATATTTTAGTTAAATAGTTGTGTCTGCTCAGAAGCCTCCGAAGATCCTTGAAACTTAAATATTGAGAAACTTGAACTATTAATAATTACCAAAATATATCAACAGTAAACATTTAGCTCAAATTCTGCGTAAAGAACCCCTCTTCATATCATTTTTTCTGCGTATTTGATACCCACTAAATTAATTTATTTTCTTATATTTGTAAACCACTGGCTGTGATGGATATAAATGATGATATAATGATGTTTCGGTTGTCACTTTATGTATTGGAATTGTCTTCAGTCGTACACAAAGTGTTAAGTTTAACATATTAATATATGAATATATTAAATATTAAAAACAACAACAAAATACGTAATTTAAAAAAATTTATATATATTTGTAAATTGTTAATTATGGGATTTAAGACAAAACTTATTAATTTTTGAATATGGGAGTTAAGGCAAAACCAATTAATTTTTGATTATGGAATTTAAGGCAAAACTAATTAATTTTTAATTATGGGATGGAAGGCAAAAATTACCAATTTTTTATAATGAAATTAAAGGCAAAACTAATCAATTTTTGATTATGGGATTTACGGCAAAACTTACTAATTTTTGTTAATGGGATTAAAGACAAAACTTACTAATTTTTGATAATGGAATTAAAGACAAAACTAATAAATTTTTGATAATGGAATTTAAGGCAAAACTAATCAATTTTTGATTATGGGATTTAAGGCAAAACTAATCAATTTTTGATTATGGGATTTAAGGCAAAACTAATCAATTTTTGATAATGGAATTTAAGGCAAAACTAATCAATTTTTGACTATGGGATTTAAGGCAAAACTAATCAATTTTTGATAATGGAATTTAAGGCAAAACTAATTAATTTTTGATTATGGGATTTAATTTTTGATTATGGGATTTAAGGCAAAACTAATCAATTTTTGATTATGGGATTTAAGGCAAAACTAATTAATTTTTCATTATGGGATTTAAGGCAAAACTTACTAATTTTTGTTAATGAGAATGAAGGCTAAGCTAACTAATTTTTGACAATGGAATTAAAGGCAAAACTAATCAATTTTTGATAATGGGATTTAAAGCAAAACTTATTAATTTTTGATTATGGGATTTAAAGCAAAACTTACCAATTTTTGTGAATGAAATTGATTGCAAAGATTAATATTTTTATTTCTTTTAACCCTTTTCACATATTTTTTCCCAAGTTTAAAACAACAAAGAACCTCATTCAAAATATACTTTACCATTGACAAACGAAATACTACTTATTTAGTTGATGCATCCAACAAAGGGGAGTAGTCAATAAAGGGATATATTTTTTAACTCTTAAAGGCGGGAGCTTAATCCTGCAACATAAGAAATATATAATAAAAGAATATATTATTTAATTTTAAGATGATAAAGATCCTTGATGTTGTAAGGAATGGTGAAACGTAAAAATGAAATTTGTTCTAATATTCGCCACTGTAGTTTTACCAGGTAACAAGGATGAATGGTATCCACTTGCATATTTCACAAGAACCAACCCCCCCCCCCCGGGCGCCTCTTCCGAGCAGGCATAACTGGGAATTTGTGACAGACGAGAGTAAACAAATATATTCAATTTTAAAATCTCTGTCCTGGAAAAAATGCACGTTCTAACACTCTAGCATGCCTCTGTAAATGGTTTTTGAATGAATGCAAGAATTTGTCAAATCCGGAAAAATTTATAAAATATCTTTTATTTTCATTGCAACTGAGAAATTTTGAAAAGACAATTCGATTTCTTTATGTTACGAGGAGGGCTTAGGTAGGCACCAAATGATAAACACTATTCCTCCTTCCCCTCTCTTCATTAGTTTTGGCTGGTCAAAACCTACCTTTAATATTTTAATAAAGTAATGCTAGCAAAAAAAAAGAATTTTCAAAGAGGAAAATTTTTCGCCTTGATTAAAAATAAGTCTAAGTTAAAAATAAAAATTAGTTTTAAATAATTCTTCATCATTTTTTCATTAAACATGACAGGGTGAAAAATTGGTTCACTTAACAAAAAGTTTACCTAATTTAATTACTTTCTAAAAGTTTTCCCAATTGATTAGGTTAGCAGCAGTACTAGTCATACTTTACATCATCATACTATCCTGCTCTTAACTTATGTTGAAAGTTCTTTGGAGAATGGCGTATACAGGGGGGGGAGGGGGCAAAGGGGAGGTGTCCCACCCTAAAAATTTCATTTTTTACTCTATGGATGTTTGGGGGGTGGGGGGGATTCTTTTGCCCTCCCCTTTGATTAAATCCTATATGATTAAACCATTGTTTCTGAAATACAGCCCAAGAGAGACATGTTTTCATGTTTCAGGGAGTCTAGCACAGTTTGCAGTACATTTACAAGAATCTGGGGAGTTTAAGCTGGAGTACATGCAGTACAAAGATCCTGTTGCATTACCAGACAAGTTCTCTGTTTGCTTCAGGTAGGTCATGTATGTCATAAAGGTTAGGGTAGGTCATGTATGTCATAAAGGTTAGGGTACGTCATGTAGGTCATAAAGGTTAGGGTATAGGTCATGTATATCATAAAGGTTATGGTATAGGTCATGTATGTCATAAAGGTTAGGGTATAGGTCATGTATGTCATAAAGGTTAGGGTATAGGTCATGTATGCCATAAAAGTTAGGGTATAGGTCATGTATGTCATAAAGGTTAGGTATAGGTCATGTATGTCATAAAGGTTAGGGTAGGTCATGTAGGTCATAAAGGTTTGGGTAGGTCATGTATGTCATAAAGGTTAGGGTAGATCATGTATGTCATAAAGATTAGGGTATAGGTCATGTATGTCATAAAGATTAGGGTAGGTCATGTATGTCATAAAGGTTAGGGTATAGGTCATGTATGTCATAAAGGTTAAAGGAATAGGTCATGTATGTCATAAAGGTTAGGGTATAGGTCATGTCTGTCATAAAGATTAGGGTAGGTCATGTATGTCATAAAGGTTAGGGTATAGGTCATGTATGTCATAAAGATTAGGGTAGGTCATGTATGTCATAAAGGTTAGGGTATAGGTCATGTATGTCATAAAGGTTAGGGTAGATCATATGTGGGTCATAGAACTCAAACCATCTCAAAGCCGGGGTTTTAAAGTAAAGGTTTAACCTTGCACAACGTGTTCATGTTCACGCACATTTATAAACAATTTCATAATCGTTATGAAATATGAAATAATTATGCCTACTTTTATAATTCTCTAATAAAGAAAATATATCAGTATATAATAGGCAGGGTTACCCACAAAGGTCGAGACTTCAAAGACGACTGTACGGATAATTTTGTCCGTTTTCTTGGATTTCTGAATCCTGATTTCCTGTGACTGCAAGTGCAAACTTGTTTCTTTCCTTGCCGAATTCTTATATAAGCCATTAAAAGACTTTACTTAAGGCAGCAAACTTAATTTAACCTTGGCATCGTCAAATGTAAAGAGTTTCAAGTGTATCTTTAATAGAGATGGGACATAGTAACCATATTTTTTATGTATGCTTGGTTACCAGGGAGCAAGGAATAGAAGGGAGAGACAACTGACGCGGTTCGCCCTACCATATGATTATACATGCTTTGCAGACGGTACTCCATTTTATATCGAGCTGTTTGGTTTCTTTAGTAGGGCCCCACAGGAAAAATATGTATTGGCGAAACTGGTCAAAGAAAATTGAGCCAATAAATATTTTTCCTGTGGGGCCCTACTAAAGAAACCAAACAGCTCGATATAAAATGGAGTACATTTATTCAGAAAAGGTCATTGAATACATGTTAAAAAAGTATGCTGAACATCGCCAAATAAATTCATTTTTTAAGATGCAAAATTATTAGCAATACAATCGTATTTTTTTTATATTAAATAAGATTGTTTTTATTTATTATGGTAAAGTAACTACATTTAAAAAATTAAAAGACGACCTTTAAAAAAACTCTTTTTCAAATGGAGTACTTCGTCAGTAAAGCATGTATAATCATATGGTAGGGCGAACCGCGTCAGTTGTCTCTCCCTTCTATTCCTTGCTCCCTGTTGGTTACCCACAAAGAATGAGACTTCAGAGACGACTTTACGAAATTTTTACTATCTGTTTCCTAAGATTCACGATTTAGCTTGAAACAGTAAACTTGTTTCGTTCTTTGCCAAATATTTAAATATGCCATAAAACGTCAACTGTCGAGGCAAATTACTTGATTCAACTTTGAAATTATTCAACAAAAAGTTTTGGGTCATCTTCACAGTCTTATCCTTTGTGGGTAGCACTGTAGGTTCCAGCTAGGTTTAGAGATTGGACCTAGTAACTATATATTCATGTATAGGTTCCAGCTAGGTCTAGAGAGGGGACCTAGTAACTATATATTCATGTTTAGGTTACAGCTAGGTCTGGAGAGGGGACCTAGTAACTATATGTTCATGTTTAGGTTCCAGCTAGGTTTAGAGATTGGACCTAGTAACTATATATTCATGTATAGGTTCCAGCTAGGTCTAGAGAGTGGACCTAGTAACTATATATTCATGTATAGGTTCCAGCTAGGTCTAGAGAGAAGACCTAGTAACTATATATTCATGTTTAGGTTCCAGCTAGGTCTAGAGAGTGGACCTAGTAACTATATATATTCATGTTTAGGTTCCAGCTAGGTCTAGAGAGGGGACCTAGTAACTATATATTCATGTTTAGGTTCCAGCTAGGTATAGAGAGGGGACCTAGTAACTATATATTCATGTATAGGTTCCAGATAAGTCTAGAGAGTGGACCTAGTAACTAAATATTCATGTAAAGGTTCCAGCTAGGTCTAGAGAAAGGAGCTAGTAACTATATATTCATGTTTAGGTTCCAGCTAGGTCTAGAGAGGAGACCTAGTAACTATATGTTCATGTTTAGGTTCCAGCTAGGTCTAGAGAAGGGACCTAGTAACTATATATTCATGTATAGGTTCCAGCTAGGTCTAGAGAAGGGAGCTAGTAACTATATATTCATGTTTAGGTTCCAGCTAGGTCTAGAGAAGGGAGCTAGTAACTATATATCCATGTTTAGGTTCCAGCTAGGTGTAGAGAGGAGACCTAGTAACTATTTATTCATGTTTAGGTTCCAGCAAAGGCCTAGAGAGTGGACCTAGTAACTATATATTCATGTATTGGTTCCAGCTAGGTCTAGAGAGGAGACCTAGTAACTATATGTTCATGTTTAGGTTTCAGCTAGGTCTAGAGAGGGGACCTAGTAACTATATATTCAGCTATAGCCTTCCAGGGAATTACGATGAACTTAATTTCTGTAAGTATTAAGAACTTGACTTTCAAGTGAACCTCCAAACAAAGATGATAATGCCCGGTTCCCAGCGGAAAACATGTAGGAATTATCTAAAACAACCACTTTTAAATCCAGAAATTAATTCCACATGATTGAAAAGATTAAGATTTCAAGGGTACCGTTGTAAATCGGCATTGCTATCTCTGCATGGAGAGTAACTTGAAATTACGCTTACACTCCCTTTAATAACATTCTTTTCTTTTAAGTTTTGTCCATTAATAATACTTCCCAAGGTCCGGTAAATATGAAGAGCCACCAAAAATGTTGGTTCCGATCAGTTCAGCATTTTTTCTTTTTTTTTGATAAAAACAGAAAATCAAACAAACAAACTGACAAATAAAATATATTGAAAGATTGAAAGAAAACAAAACAAGATATAAATATAAAATGTATTCCAGATATCAGGCCTGAAACAAGATGTAAATCTAAAATGTATTTCAGATATCAGGCCTGAAACAAGAACTGGTTCAATTTGTCTAGAGGATTCTTGTGGAGAGTTTTCACTAACTGGGGACCTCAGGAACTTCATAATCCAACATGCTTAAATGTCTCTCAATTCTACATGATCCCGATTCGTCGCAGACCTATATGTAGTTAAATCTGTCTGTCCCTAATATAAATAGAATCATTACTTTTGCTAATTATGATGGCTGGCTATTCGAACCTGGAATAACTTTAAAGAAGTTCTTCAGATCAATTTTGTTTTTATCCATCTTATAGATTAATAGAAAAAATGATGTTATTAATATTAGGAACAGACAGATTCCGGCGTTTTTAATCAGAATTTAGAAATTATCTTAATATCTTTGATGAATTGCACGAGTTTGCACACCAACAGCAAAATCATTGTAATCGTTAGATATTTCTAACTTTAATTTTTTGTACTAACAGAATTCATAGTTTTAAATATATAATGTCTACGACATTGATTAGCTTACAGGAAATCGGATTCAAATTCAAACAGAAGTCAGGATTATGAGTGTTGTGCAGGTCTGGGTACAGTCTTATCTGTATTCTTGTAAAGGATATGTACTCACAGAGTACTTCTGGTAATTCACAGATGTATCAAAACAAATTTGATTTTTTAATATATCATAACAAGAAATAAGTCACGATGAAAACTTACTTTTGCAAACATTAGTTGAAATGTTTAATAATCTGTTAAACCAATAATACTAGTGAACTATTCTATAATCTGTTAAACCTATACTACTAGTTGAACTATTCTATAATCTGTTAAACCTATAATACTAGTTGAACTATTCTATAATCTGTTAAACCTGTGGCCGAATTTAAAGAATTTGAGCGGTGGTTTAAATTTAAGCCGCGGCTTAAATATGGCTGGTTCCATATAAAATGTTTCAAGATTTAAGCCGGCGCTAAATTTAAACCGGGTTTTGGCGGATTTTGGCGAATTTAAACCGCGGCTCAAATTCTTTAAATTCCATCTCCGTAATACTAATTGAACTATTCTATAATCTGTTAAACCTAAACTACTAGTTGAACTATTCTATAATCAGAGCCCGCAAGATCTTCGGCTCGACTTAAGTAGTTAGGCCCAATGAATAAGCCTTGTTCTCATAAAAACCCGGATTGCGCCAATTCCTACCAAGAAAATCCGCCAAATAGAATATTAAACCGGTTTTTTAAACTCAACTCTGGAAAATAAGATGCAGCTTGAATATCCGAAAGCGTAAGCCGTAAATAAGACCCAACGACAGCTTAGACCCGAGTCGTATTTTCCCTAGTTTTTAAATCGCGGGCATTGCCCGCGATTTAAAAGCTTCGGCTCGAGTCTTAATTCCTTAAACGCAGCTTTAAGACCCAACTCTGACGACAGCTTGTGTCACGTGATTGACAGCTGCGAGATCTTAGGCTCGACTTAAGGAGTTAGGCCCAATGAAAATAAAACCGACCTTGGTTGGTTTTAGTGAAGAATAAGGCTCAATGTTGGGTCTTCTTCTCATCAAAACCCGGAATGCGCCAATTCCAACTATGAAAATCCACCAAATACAAAATTAAACTGGTTTTATGAACTAAACTCTGTTGAAAATTAGATGCAACTTAAATCCGAAAGCCCGAGCCGTAAATAAGGCTCAACAACAGCTTAGACCCGAGTCGGATTTTCTTGAATTTTTTAAATCGCCGGCTCAGTTCAAGTAGTAATAAAGGTTAAACGTATTATAGAACAGTTCAACTAGTATTATAGGTTTAGCAGATTTTAGAATAGTTCAACTAGTAGTATAGGTTTTACAGATTATAGAATGTTCAACTAGTATTATAGTTTTACCAAGTTCTACAATCTTTTAAACCTATATTTCTATTTGAACTGTTCTATAATCTGTTAAAGCTATATTTCTAGTTGACCTGTTCTTTAATCTGTTTAACCTATATTACTGCTCGAACCGTTCTACAATCTTTTAAACCTATATTTCTAGTTGACCTGTTCTATAATCTGTTAAATTTATATTACTAGTTTAACTGTTCTATAATCTGTTAAATTTATATTACTAGTTGAACTGTTCTATAATCTGTTAAATTTATATTACTAGATGAACTGTTCTATAATCTGTTAAATTTATATTACTAGATGAACTGTTCTATAATCTGTTAAATTTATATTACTAGATGAACTTTTCTATAATCTGTTAAATTTATATTACTATAGTTGAACTGTTCTATGATGGTAAGCTGGCAGTTTCACTGATAGTGAATACAATTATCCCTGGGGGAGATGAAATAACCCAGGTATTTATCTATTAGATGACAGCGACTAATTTTAGGAGTCGACTGTGAGAATATTTGTAATTTATCCTTGTTTAAGAAGATTTAAACCCAAAATAGTGCAGGGTGAATGCTAGTCGAAAAAAATGTGATTTTAATTAAAATTTTTCAATCAAAGCTCTATTTTTTCTCCCAGCTTTGATCTGGGCCCTACACAAACAACGCACCTTATTCACAAAGCAAGACCAAATCAAACTGAACTATTTAAAAACGAACTCTGATTTTTGAATCCTTTAATCTTTCCACCCTGCTGGTGCAAACTTTTTACAATACAAGCTTTAACTATTTGATCAAGCTGAACTAGTAGTTTGAAAGAAGGTGGGTTGAAAAGATACAAGGATTAGAGAATTAAAGTTTCAGAAAAAGAAATCCGCTCCTCCATGTTTTTACCTGTTAAATATAACATCAGGGTATTCTGATCCTGGGCCAGGAGCAGGATATGCACGGTGGAGGGTTCGATATCAAGCAGAGTTTCTCAGGACTTATCTCTCAATTCAATATCTTCAACAGGTTTTAAACTTTATCAGTTTAAGGAGTTGGACATTAGATAAAGTTTATGGGATATTATGAATTAAAAGATTAATCAGGAGTAATCAGGAGTAATTAGGAGTAATCAGGAGTAATCAGGAGTAATCAGGAGTAATTAGGAGTAAGCAGGAGTAATCAGGAGTAATCAGTAGTTATTAGGAGTAATCAGGGGTAATCAGGAGTAATCAAGGGGTAATCAGGAGTAATCAGGAGTAATCAGGACTAATCAAGGGGTAATCAGGAGTAATCAGGAGTAATTAGGAGTAATCAGGAGTAATCAGGAGTAATCAGTAGTTATTAGGAGTAATCAAGGGGTAATCAGGAGTAATCAAGGGGTAATCAGGAGTAATCAGGAGTAATTAGGAGTAATCAGGAGTAATCAGGAGTAATTTTGGGTAATCAGGGGTTATCAGGATTAAAAGTAATATGAGTAATAAGTAGTGATCAGCAGTAATAAGAAGTAACCCAGAATAATAAAGAGTAATGAAGATCCACCTCAAATATATTTCAGAATTATCACTGAGCTGCAAATCCAAGCAATGCAAGACTGCTCTAATGAACTGTCAGGAATGTTTCTCAAAACAGACATTTTTCAAATTAATGATCAATCAAATTATTAAAAAAAAAACTTCAATCATAAAGTCCTTGTTTTCAATTTACTACAAAATATTTAAATGTTTTAGGTTCAAGATTTTATATTTTGTAAACATATTGTTCAGGAGAACTGGTCAGTTGGGATAATTTCTCCTGGTTGATACAAGGAGACATTAATCTGTATCCTATAGAGGATACATCAATATACTGTAGGTTAGAATACATATACATATACCTGTATCCAATAGAGGGTACATCTACATTATGTAGGTTAGGGTACATATACCTGTATATCCAATACATGTATCATCTTTATACTGTAGGTTAGTACATATATACCTGTATCCAATGTAGGGAACTTCAATACACTGTAGGTAAGGATAAATATATATCCATATCCAATACAGGATACATATATATACTGTAGGTTAGGATACATATATGTAGTAAATGCCTTACTCGTAAAACTGCTTTCAGACCTGTATCAATCCAGGTACAACTCGTAAACTATCAATGCCAAACATGGGCACGATCTTATAGGCTTCAATGTAAACACGGACACAAGCTCGTAAACTATCAATGCCAAACCAATGGGCATTGGGCACGATCTCATAGGCTTCAATGTAAACACGGATACAAGCACTTAAACTTTCAATGTCAAACATGGGCACGATCTCATAGGCTTCAATGTAAACACAGACACAAGCACGTAAACTATCAATGCCAAACCAACGGGCACGATCGCATAGGCTTCAATTACAACACGGACACAAGCACGTAAACTATCAATGCCAAGCCAATGGGCATGATCGCATAGGCTTCAATTACAACACGGACACAAGCACGTAAACTATCAATGCCAAGCCAATGGGCACAATTTCATAGGCTTCAAAGCGGAGTATATACATATAATCTACTTGACCTAGGACTAGCCTACTAGCTGAGCTGGTTAGTGTACATAAACCAAAATATAGTGCATATACATATTCTCTACTTGACCCAGGACTTTCCTGTTAGCTAAGCTGGTCAGTGTATATAAACCTTTATATACTGTATATAAATATACTCTACTTGACCTAGGACCAACCTACTAGCTGAGCTGGTCAGTGTATATAAACCTGTATTTACTGTATAATACATATAATCTACTTCACCTAGGACTAACCTACTAGCTGAGCTGGTCAGTGTATATAACCCTGTATATAATGTATAAAACTTATGATCTACTTGACCTAGAACTAGCCTACTAGCTGAGCTGGTCAGTGTATATAAAAATATATATAATGTTTATACACATGTCTATTTGACCTAGAACTAGCCTACTAGCTGAACTGGTCAGCGTACCTGAACCGCTTGATTTCTCTGCAGCTGATTTCACATGTAATTTCTTGGGAGGAAGGATTCAAGCTCCAGGTAAAGAACTGTCTCTTCTTCGACAATTTATTGATGATTAATCAATTCGAAAACCAGTTTTTAAGATGGTTGACAGCAACGGAAATATTGTAATTAGGTCCATTCCCCGACTTACAGAGTAAAGTTGTAATATAGAAATATACAAACAATTAACTAGGAAAGAGTAAAATAACAAAAAAAAATAACATAATTAAGGTTACCATCTACTTCCAAAAAAACAAAAAAAAAATAACATAATTAAGGTTACCATCTACTTCCAAAATAAAGTCCTTAGCTATATAATCATATTATACATACAAAGCATGTAAACTGTATATACTTGTCCTTAGCTATATAACCATGTTATACATACAAAGCATGTAAACTGTATATACTCGCCCTTAGCTATATAATCATATTATACATACAAAACATGTAAACTGTATATACAATTGTCCTTAGCTATATAATCATATTATACATACAAAGCATGTAAACTGTATATACTCGTCCCTAGCTATATAATCATGTATATACAAAGGATATATAAAATTATTATGAAAATAACAAAGTTTAACTCAGGTTTCAGCTGGAAAATAAAAGTACAGAAAATGATAAATATTTGTCTATTTAATTATTAAGCTTCTAATATCTTCCAAGCAAACCACTTCATTTATAATTCATCAGGCTCTGTCCCAATTTTAAACTATAATTTGCAAAAATTAAATAAAATTTTTGATTTATTTCATTTTAATTCTCTTCTTTACCATAGCAATTTTGTGACTAAGTACGGGGGACATTTTCAGCAATGACTGAACTGATGATGTATTATTCACAGGGGTTCACAACAATTAATTTAACATTTTCAGTAATTCAAATGACCCAACTGCTTGCTAGAAAACAAGTTAAAGTAGAATTATTTAAGAACTTATTAATCAAAATTAAAAATATTATTTGAAGTCTCAAAAACTACCCGAAAACTTCCAAAGGTGTCATTTTTATGTTAATAAGATTTTTTCTGTTTTTTCTTCTTAAATTTTTATCATTGAATTATTTCTAAACCCCTTAACTATTTTCTTTCAAGCTAAAATTTATGTATTCAATCGAAAACGTTTTTTTTTAGTTGAAAACCGTTGACTCTTCTCCATTTATTATCTATTATACAGGGAACTGATTGTTCTAATGAAGATGAAGAACTAATGTACTGGCTGGGGAGTAAATTCAAAGGTAAACAAACAACCTCCAAACAATTGTGCATTTTTTATTTGAAAACATGTTTTACTCATAAATTGTTATTTTTTGCTCAAAGTACTCTTAAAAGTATATTTAGCTGATTTTGGCATCAAAAAAAGTCAGAGAAAATGGATAAAATTTGTATAATTCTGGATAAAAAAGGCGAATACTCCATCGTAGTTAGTAAAACTTTAAATCTGTTAAAGCTTTAAATAAAATGGACAAATATGTTTGTTTTGCACGATAAAGAATCTTTTATTCGTTCGTATGAAGTTAAAAATTAAATTTTTTTGGTTTAAAAAGCTTTACTTATATTGAAACTTTTAAGATGGTTCTTGGTCAGATTACCAAACCGGAGAGAAACTCATACTAGAAAATGTCAAAGATCCCAAAACAGAGCAGGTTAGATGGATTTATAAATTAAACTAGAAAATGTCAAAGATCCCAAAACAGAGCAGGTTTGATGGATTTAATAAATTAAACTAGAAAATGTCAAAGATCCCAAAACAGAGCAGGTTTGATGGATTTAATAAATTAAACTAGAAAATGTCAAAGATCCCAGAATAGAGCAGGTTAGATGGATTTAATAAATTATACTAGATAATATCAAATATTCCAGAATAGAGCAGGTTAGATGAATTTAATAAATTAAACTAGAAAATGTCAAGAATTCCAGAATAGAGCAGGTTAGATAAATTAAACTAGAAAATGTCAAGAATTCCAGAATAGAGCAGGTTAGATGGATTTAATAAATTAAACTAGAAAATGTCAAGAATTCCAGAATAGAGCAGGTTAGATAAATTTAATAAATTAAACTAGAAAATGTCAAAGATCCCAAAACAGAGCAGGTTAGATGAATTTAATAAATTAAACTGGAAAATGTCAAAGATCCCAAAACAGAGCAGGTTAGATGGATTTAATAAATTAAACTAGATAATATCAAATATTCCAGAATAGAGCAGGTTAGATGGATTTATAAATTAAACTAGAAAATGTCAAAGATCCCAGAATAGAGCAGGTTAGATGGATTTAATAAATCAAACTTGAAAATGTCAAAGATCTCAGAATAGAGCAGGTTAGATGGATTTAATAAATCAAACTTGAAAATGTCAAAGATCCCAGAATAGAGCAGGTTAGACGGATTTAATAAATTAAACTAGATAATATCAAAGATTCCAGAATAGAGCTGCATGTTTGATGAATTTGACAAAAGAAAAGTAAATGCACTAAACTGTTGTAGTTTGGTATAAAATATGTAAAGAATAAATAGTTTTCCAGGTAAATTGTGAAATAAACAAGATAAATTACAGTTTATTTTGACAGTTTTAACTTGAGCAAATAAATACCTCTGGAGCTGAGTAATTCACCAAAATCATTAAAACTTTGAAAAACAATTCAAAATATTTACATAATCTAATTTTCTTTAAACTTTTAACACTAAAAAGTTAAATATGTTTACTTATTCAAAAAAATAGGAAAACAAGAAAAAATGATTTTTAAAATAATGGTTTGGAGAGAGGGATGAACTCCTTTTATAAGAATAGTATCGTTAACATAGTAAACATTATAAATCAAAATTCAGGAATTTCTTTTGAAATCACTAAACATTATCTTAAAAACTCATTATTTAACCCTGAATAATTCTTAGAAAATAAAAATGACTGATGAAAAGTTGTTCTTTCGGCATAAGTACATTTTTAATTAAAAAAGCATTAAAAAAAATAAAACATATTTACGATATGATCTGGACCCACCTAACCAGAGTAGGTTGTTTTGATTGACTGGGTGATTAAAGGTGGTGTGCTTGGTGATTAGTTGATTTGTATTTTGATGAAGAAAGTTGATCAGGCAAAAACCGTGAATTCCTTAAAAATAATTTCTCGTGAAGCAACAAAATGTGTCATGGTCCACTTTAGTTTTAGTTGCATGAATATTCAAAATATATGAAATTAAAAACATATTTCGGATTTTGTAATTTCATATTAATTTTTATTTCCAGGAAGGATGTTTAATGAACTACTTTGGTGAATTACAGGCTAGAGAATGTAAAAGAAAGTATTGTTCCTTCTGTAAACTCAGAGAGAAAACATCACCAATACTAGTTAAAGGTAATTGTGTACAGTATCAATATTACTAAGGTAAAAAGGGACAGTGCCATAGAGTAATAAAACGAAGAGGTGAAGCTTAGCTCAGATGTACACAACCGACCTCTCTATTAATTAATTAATAATGTGGTCGGTTGTATACATCACGATATGTTTACATATCAAACGTTGCACACTTGTATATAGAGCGATCGTATTTCTAAGGAGTGGTTTAAAGTAGATATTTGAATATTAGCATAGGGTTTAAATGCCTGTCCAAATTTGTCAAGGCCAGCTCATTGAAATAAAATTAGATCGATTACTTTCATAGTGCTAGAGAGGGTAAAAAAAATGATAGATTAGGTCGAAAAAATGTAAAAAATAATTTTTTGTTTAAAACAAATATCAAAGTGTGACACACTTTTCTCCATTTTGCAAGGGCTCTTCAAAACTATAGTTTTCAGATCTGTAGCTTTAGTCATAAAAAAGTTATGGGCTATTTAAGATATACTCTGATTTTTATCGCCCTGCACCCTACCTTAGGCATAAAAAAAATTACCAAAAAATCCTTTAAATTTCTATTTATGAAAAGTCAAAAAACTAGAGGGGGGCCAAATACCCCCCCCCCCCCCCCCNCCTCAGGGTAGGTTATATAGTAGAAGAGGAGAATTAAATCCCTCACGGTAGGTAATATAGTAGAAGGGGAATATTCAATCCCTCACGGTAGGTAATATAGTAGAAGGGGAGTATTCAATCCCTCACGGTAGGTAATATAGTAGAAGGGGAATATTCAATCCCTCACGGTAGGTATTATAGAAAGAAAGACAATCTAAAAATTGGTCAATTACATAAAATCCCCCTTTAGAAATACGATCACTCTATATACAAGTGTAGAGCGTTAGATACGTTAACATATCGTTATGTACACAACCGACCTGTCTATTAATGAATTAATGAATTAATAGACAAGTCGGTTGTGTACATCTGAGCTAAGTTTCACCTCTTCGTTTTATTACTCTATGGACAGTACCAAACTGAATTATCCCGTATGTGTAGCTATATAGTCACTTTTCAGAGACACTTTGTATTTTTAATCAATACTTTTACGATCAATTGTAGTTTATTAACATAAAATAAAATAGTTTTATGTTTATTAAAAAGAGTTTCAAATGGAACAGAGCTAAATGGTATTATGGGTTAATGTCATGCATGTATGATGTGTGTATAATTGGAGTCTGGGGAGAAATCATCATCATTGGCGTACTAATAGATACCCCCTTTCATTTGAGAGCCCCTAAGAGTGTCTCATTGTAGACTATTAGATTCTCGATGAAGACCCCCAAATTTTCATTGGAGACCCCCAGATTTTTGTTTTAAACCCCCAATTTTCATATGAGACAATATTGAGTTTCCAATGACAATATGAAAAGCTGGTGTCCCCAATGAAAATCCGTGGGTCTCCAATGAGACGTCCTTAGGGGTTTCCAATGATGATAACTTCTTCTCAAACTCGTCTAATTTTAAGAACAACTAGATATGAAAATTTAGAGCTTCAATTTCCTTTTTTATATAGCTTGAAGGGGGGGGGGGTGAAAATATTATCAAATTTATTTTATGGTTTACCTATTTTTGATGACACCCCCCCCCCATGATACTAATATTTTAGTACGAGCAATTAAAGAATTTTAAAAAACATGGCTCACTGCAGAAATATAGCAATCGTATGCGAATTTATTGCACCAATTAAACCGGTTTCATTCTTTTTCTTTTTTATAATTTTTAAAATCAAATGAGCTACAGTCGCACTGAAATTGACGATGATTATTTAAGATATTCAGTTTGTGGATTATTTTTTTATGTGTATTTAGGAATATGTTCACTAGAGACTGAAGAAAACAAAAACTTTGATACCATCTTCTATCTTAGTGGTATACGTAACAGTAGAATATATTTCAGGTTTACGTTATTTTCAAATATTTATCTTAAACAGTCAATTTTAGAAAATGTTTTTAAAAATTCTCAATAATCAAGATAAATAAAAAGATTCTAACAACCATTAATAAAAGACGTTGATTCGTGTTGAAAAATATCCATTTTAAGAATTTTCACGGAAATTCCCAGTTTACGAACCTTAAGGCACATTACAAGGATTCAGAGACTTCTCTCAAAAATAATTAATCAAGCGACCGAGCCTTTTTTGACTGGAATAAGAGGTTTATGGTGTAAACTCAATTGTGCTGACCCCCCCCCTTCCTACACCCTCCCCCAAGGGCGGTTTCAGGATTCAAGATAGAAGGGGGGTTCAAAATATATTCACGCGAAGCGCAAAACAAGTGTTAATTCCCCTGTATTGTAATTGGGGGTAATGGAGACTGCCGCCCCTGAAACCGCCCATGCCCCCCACTCCTCCATTTCTCTCTCTTTTAATTGGAACTCTGAATATTTCTATTACTCAAACAATATTTCTATTATTCAAACACATAAATATGACTATAATCATAAATTTAAATGGAAGAGTAAGCGAACACTGAATTCAGTATAATTTAGCTAAATTTACTTTATATCAACATTTTGTAATTAACAAAACTACTGCTGATATTAATTAATTATTAAATGTACCATTAAACCAATTTATAGTTTAACTCAAGGAAAATACTGAAAAAGTTCAAAATGTCAGTCATTAGGTAAAGTCAATTATTTATCATTGTGCACACTAGGGGGTGTTTACAGGGGTGGGGGAATTTATTAAATATCTTTGCATTTAAGGGGGTTTCGTCAATCTTATCAATTAATACAACGATTCACAGCATTTTTCTAGAGAAAATTGTCTTGTGCTGACCAGGGGTATAGATTTCTGGAATAATCACAGGTCGCCATCTTTAGACAGAAAAAAAACTTCTATCTCTATCTACCTTATTAAGATATCGTGTATAAATCATAGGGTATATACAATATGTATATATTTCTCCATTAGTTTCAGGTCACGTTTAACATTTTTTACCTGTATCTTTTTGTTTGTTTGCTAATATTTACATAAAATATTATAATATAATTCCAGATTAAACAGAAACCCTGAAATATTTATTTATTTGAATAGAGGATCTGGGTTCAGCCATCTCTACTATAAACCTGGAGAAGGTGACACTAGTGATAGTAGGACAGGAAACTGGATCATTCAATCCCTCCGGGTAGGTTATGAAGGGGAGTATTCAATCCCTCAGGGTTGTCCACATAGTAGAAGGGGAGTATTTAATCCCTCAGGGTAGGTTTTATAGAAGGAGGGGAATATTCAATCCCTGAGGGAAGGTTATTAAGTAGGAGGGGAATATTCAATCCCTCACGGTAGGTAATATAGTAGAAGGGGAATATTCAATCCCTCACGGTAGGTAATATAGTAGAAGGGGAGTATTCAATCCCTCACGGTAGGTAATATAGTAGAAGGGGAGTATTCAATCCCTCACGGTAGGTAATATAGTAGAAGGGGAATATTCAGTCCCTCACGGTAGGTAATATAGTAGAAGGGGAGTATTCAATCCCTCAGGGTAGGTTTTATATTAGGAGAAGATTATTTGATCCCTCAGGGTAGGTTTTATATTAGGAGAAGATTATTTGATCCCTCAGGGTAGGTTTTCTATTAGGAGAAGAATATTTGAATATAATTAAAGACGACATTCTTTAGGATCCAACTTTGGAGATAATACTGCCAAAGAAGTATTCTAAACTTTATCCTTTCGGGAGATATATTTGGGAAGTAGGTTAGTTTCTTCAGAACAATTCAACTCAACTTATTTTATTGTATTTGAACAATTAACATAAAACATTATTATGAAGGTTCTAAGGAGGTATGTGACCTGGTCCCAGGTACTCCCCTCCCCCTCACATTTACATCATGTCCAGAGGAGTCCTTTACCTGTTCCAGTGGGGAATGCATTCCTCTTGCAAACAAGGAAAATTATTTGTCTAAGTTCATGAAAATCTGGCAAAGAAAGTTTGGCTTGGTATTATAATTATATATATTTTGTTAAAAAAATCTTACAGAAAATATTTTATCCTTCTGTGTCTCTTAAAGGGACGATGTGTAAAAACTAATTCAATGAATGTATTCCTGTGTTACTTACATTATATTACATCATTCTTTTTTGTTAACTTAAATATCAATAAAAAGTTTTAGTTTTTAAAAGTTTGAAATATTTAGAAAATATGTTGAGTAGTGTAACTCTAAGATTGACTGCACCGATGAATCTGATGAATCACAGTGCAACTACCTCCAGGTAGAAACAATTTAGAATCGTCTTTCATCTGCGCAGCATTAATTGCGAAACAATAATGATAAATGTAAACTTAGGAATAATTCTAGATTTTGTATTGTTGTTTTATTTTAGAGAATATTTTCCTTATACATGTATGACGAAATTGAATTAAATTAATGCTCTATAATGATACTGTATGTTTGAAAATTATGTTTAACTTTAAGTATTAATGTGAGCAAATCGTATTTTATATTTTTAATGGTTTATTGACATTCCTCAGGAATTTTTATAAATTGTAATGCAGTGCACTAAGCTGCAGTTTAAATTATAGATTTTTTACTCAATATTTTATTTTGTCATTTCTGAGATGTTTTTTATGAATATTACTGTTTTATTTCATATTCTTTAAGCTTAAAGAGACTGTGAAGTGTGAACATATTGATTGAGTTAAAGGGACTGTAAAGGAAAAATTGAAAGGGGGTATAGAATGAAACCTGAGAATCTCAGGCGTTGAATGATACATATAAGACAGCTATCTGATGTTCCTCAAGAACTGGTCAAGTGATTTCCCTCTGTATCACGTGACAACGATACTGCACTGCCATTGACTGAAGTTCTGGTGACGTAATACGGACTATACGGACTATATGTGTAATTATATTATCAATTATATATATTAAAAATGCAAAATAAAAACAAATTATAAATGGAGCAAACTTGAGATTCTCAGGCTGCTGTGGGATATTGTTGTTTTCAGATTGGTTGCGTATTTGAATATGATCTATTTAATACTACAACATTGATACAAAATTACAAAATTACATACATATGAATAAAATTAACACAGTTTTATATCTATTTCTCGAGACAGGAACATCAGATAGATGTTTTATATGTATTGTTTAACTCCTGAGATTCTCAGGTTTCATCCTATTCCCCCTTTCATTTTTCCTTTACAGTCCCTTTAAGTTAAGTTGTGAATCCGGCACACCACTTTTTTAAATGGAGGGTCACTTGAAATATCGAATCCATGGTCCCGAGCTAAACTTGCCTATTCTAGGTTCCTGATATATATTCTGGACATCTTGGACCAAGGTCGAGTTTTTATAGAATTATTTTCTACATTTTCAAAATATTTCAGATAATTTTTAATTATCAAAGTACAAGAATTTCAAAGGAATTGAGTCTTTGCCACAAAACCAAATTCTAAGCTTCCTACATCATTGCATCCTGGTGGTGTAGACCTTTCATAGTTCAAACTTAGCAAATTTAGGTTGCAAAGATCAAAGTGATTAGAAAATCAGAGTTTGCGAAAAAGGCTCTATTTCTTTAGTCAATATGTATCTAAAACATCTCTATCCTAGCCTATATACCCTAATATTGATATGTTTAGATTTAAAGGAAACCAACCTGTCCCTGTATATATAAACATCTCTATCCTAGCCTATATACCCTAATATTGATATGTTTAGATCTAAAGGAAACCAACCTGTCCCTGTATATATAAACATCTCTATCCTAGCCTATATACCCTAATATTGATATATTTAGATCTAAAGGAAACCAACCTGTCCCTGTATATATAAACATCTCTATCCTGGCCTACCCTGATATTGACACTATGGGATTAAAGTTTACTTCGGACTACTATATCAACCTTAGATGGTAATTATATAAAACGAGGCTTTTTTGTGCCTTTGTTGTACTTTTACCTAAGAAAATTTTCCTTTTTTACATTATAAACAAGACTAATTTAAGATTTCGATGAATAAACAAAAAAATGTCGAAATTTATTGAGGGCAAATTTTTTGAGTAATTTTTTTGGAGACTATGTTTTTTCCTTGCGACTTAAAATACACTAATCTTAATTTTTTTTTAATTTAAAATCATTTACAGAAACTTAAGAGTTTTACGATAAACCCAGGTTTGCCGGGATAGAAATATATTTCTTATTTCATGGATTTCCTGAAATCGAGAGTAAAAGTACGTGGAACATATTGTCTCTAAAAATAAATAAAAAGAACATTGCAGTATAAAAGTAAAGAAAAAAATATACAATTTAAGAGTCATTAAGAGAATTTATAAAATGTCGTTTTCTAAAGTTACTGATAATGGAATAATGGAGTGCTTTCAATCGAATAATTTTATGAACCTCTTTAAAACTGTTCCCGTTTATTTAATGGCTATTTGTTTATTTTTTAAATTACTGAGATTTGAGTATAATAGTATAAAACCTATTGAAAAATTGTTAAGACGACATTTTTAATTAGTTGAATGTCTCCAAAGTTTAGGGCATGTATAGTAAACGGGAAGAGTATTTAGGAAGACAATTTTTAATTTTTTTTTAAATATGGAAAATAAAACAAAATCTGTAAAAAAATAACCGTACAGAAAATAGGGAAAATTAGACAAAATCTATAAATAAAATAACCGTACAGAAAATAAGGAAAATTAGACAAAATCTGTAAATAAAATAACTGTACAGAAAATAAGGAAAATTAGACAAAATCTATAAAAAAAATAACCGTACAGAAAATAAGGAAAATTAGACAAAATCTGTAAATAAAATAACCGTACAGAAAATAGGGAAAATTAGACAAAATCTGTAAAAAAAAATAACCGTGCAGAAAATAAGGAAAAATAAAACAAAATCTGTAAATAAAATAACCGTACAGAAAATAGGGAAAAATAAAACAAAATCTGTAAATAAAGTGAAATACCGTAATGTCAAAAAATTCTGTTTAAGGTATGATGGTCGTCTGAGTTTCAAAGATTTGAACGACAATTCTATCCTGAACAATGTACAGTTGGAAGCTCTGATCACCATGTGGTCCCCGCAGCTGGCCTTTCTTAATGCCCTTGGCCCCTTTCAAACCGTTGTAGATGATCTTAGGAAAATCGTAATTCAATATTTTTACCAATAATATAGGATACCATGCAAATAGTTTGGCACCATTGCATGTACATGTGTACACTGTACAATGTACATTGCGGTACGGGTTTATTACACGGTCCCATAAAAAAAATCTGGAAAATATCATAAAGTTGAATTAAATTTTGCAGTGTTTGTACTATTGTATTGGAGAAAGCACCAACCTTTGATGATAAGACGGATAGCTGGGAGTGTAAGTACATATATACGACAGTGAAATTAGTTTTTTTGTTTGAAACTATTGTTAGTATTTTTATTTCGTGTTTTTTTAGCATGTTCGGACATTTTTCAACCTCACCGTACGGTTTATAATAGTTGCAATTTGTTGGTTCTCTTTGAAATTATAAATGCAGCTTAGAAGTTTGAATTTTTATTACTCTAGACTGTTTTATCACTATCAGCAGTTCTTTACTTCCCAAAATTACACTATTAAAACATTACATTTTATTAAATGATTATTTTTTTTAGATTTTTAAACTTTTTTAGGAACTGAGGACTTGCTCCAACTCTAATTTTATCATCCTTATTTCTTTGTAAGCCTTTGTTCTAGACCTTTGACATTCCAAACTATAAATTCTGTTAGATCAAATAGTTTCAGCTTGAAATATCAAAAGAATGATCAGGTTGCAAAGATGTAAGGATTTTAAAAAATTGAGTTTGTGGCAAAAGCTCAGTTTCTTTGAGAGATGATATTTGTGTTTTTTTAGATTATGGA